CAGAGAGCTAGAGTCCCAACACACAGCCCAGCCCAAAGCATTGAGACAGCCAGAGAGAGCAGGAACAGGGGGAGGGGACTCACCCAAGGGGGCCGGGCCTGGTAGGGTGCTGATGACCATTGAGCTGGAGCTCTCCAAGGGGGACAAAGAGGGAGGGAGTGGGTCCGCCTCAGCCAAAGCAGCCAGTTTCCTGTCCCTGTCGCAGCTCACCAAAAAACTGACCCTGAAATAAGTGAATGAAACAGACAGGGGTTTTAAATGGAGGAGTGTCCGAATCATACTGGAGAGCGAGGCAGAGGAGGATCTTAGAGAGGCAGTCCTAATGAACTAAAAGGCTGCCTCCCAAATGGTACCCTATTCCCTATGGGCCCTGGTCAAAAACAGTGCACTAAATAGGGAATAGGATACCATTTGGGAGGCAGAGTAAGTCTGTCTAGTACAGAATATTCCTTCCTACTAGATTTAAGCCTTTACAACTCAAGTGATCATCATTATGATCTTAATGCCACACTGGGTTGAACATAGACACAATAGTGATCCAAAAGTATGATAAGTCAATCAAAGCCCTCCATCTACTAACTGTTACTGTCAGGTCATGAAACATGCCTTCTGAACCACATCATCTGACTGCTGGTTGGATAAAAACATCTGAAAAGCTATTTCCAAGTTTGTCTTTCATCCTGACATCTTAGATGTGATGCGAGGCATTATTTCTCTACCACATGTGTCCGACACACATCAGAGAGTCCTGGATACAGGGACAACCCAATATATTGTTTTTGTTTGCGTCTCAAATGGCACCTTATACCCAAAGTAGTGCACCATGGGCCCTGGTCAAAAGAAGTGCACTGTGTAAGGAATAGGGTGCCATTTGGGATGCAGAGTTTGAGATGATCTGTCAAAGTCTGACGTCCCCCTCACACTGGCATTCCCATTTCCTTTTCCTCCTTTCCTCCTTTCAATGGGAGCCCTTCGTATTCAGACTCTTCTCATATTCAGACTCTTCTCATATTCAGACTCTTCTCATATTCAGACTCTTCTAATATTCAGACTCTTCTCATATTCAGACTCTTCTCATTCAAACTGTAGAAGTGGTTTTAAAAACGTTTAATGCCCTCTCTTTCACATCCTCTCATTCTTATTTCTCTCTCTCTCTCTCTCTCTCTCTCTCTCTCTCTCTCTCTCTCTCGCTCTCTCTCTCGCTCTCTCTCTCATTTCCTCTCCCTATGTCTTTCTCTCCAATAGATTTTCTGAATCTTATTTCTCAAGGTCTTGACTTACCTTTCCACCTGACTGCTTCAGCTTCCATAGACCACACCCTTTTAGACCACACCCCTTGGCCCTATCTCATTACCCCATGAAGCCCTATGAAAGAGTAGCCCTGTCAACCTCAGTGTCTCCTCTGCAGAACATACAACATATAACCCCTCCAGCTATAGGCATGCAGTTTAATATATGGACCCTGCTAATGTACAGATACTAATGACTTCAGGGCAGGGGTCAAATAGTTCCTGAAACTTCTATTCATGTTTCCTGCTGCTGGTTGCTTAGCTCAATCGCTCAATCAGATCAGATGAGAGTGGTGCGGAAAGAGAGTGAGTGCACCCTGCATTGACGAGTCAGACGAGTCAGAGAAATATGATTCCAAGCTCTTAGCTTGTGTCGATGGGTTCAACCCAAAGTTCATTTCATCTGGGTGATTCAATCCCTTCACATTTGAGCTAATGGAGGTCGTAGTTCTTCACTGTGCTGTGCTGTGCTCTGCTGCTTGGCTGTCGGTGCATGCTGAAGGTTAGGTTATTCCTGGCTCCATAAGGGCGTATACAGGTTTACTGGAACAGCTGCAAAGCAGGAAAAGCCCTGTTTGTTTGTGTCTGAGAGTATGCCCCAAATGGCATTCTATTCTCTCGGTTGTTGTGACTGAGTCCTTGAAATGACGTCACGTTGACAGCCAGTGGACATTATCAGGCCCTGACAACAAAGGGATACCAAAAAGTGATGCATCCTTCTGCTCTTCCTGGTTATTTTGGTCCCGTTAATCCCTCCTGCACGTGTCTCCCCCACTCAGATAACAATTTTAGCACTTGCTGGTAACTGGATATCTCTCTCTCTCTCTCTCTCTCTCTCTCTCTCTCTCTCTCTCTCTCTCTCTCTCTCTCTCTCTCTCTCTCATATATATATATATATATATATATATATATATCTCACACAGACACTCTCTCTCTCTGTCCTTTAGTGACACTAAGCTATGTTTCCTCATAGACTACCCACTCTCCACTCTATACTTAAGCCTCTTCTATCTGTATAGATATAGGCCTGATCAGACCTCTTATATCTGTATAGATATAGGCTGTATCAGACCTCTTCTATCTGTATAGATATAGGCCTGATCAGACCTCTTCTATCTGTATAGATATAGGCCTGATCAGACCTCTTCTATCTGTATAGATATAGGCCTGATCAGACCTCTTCTATCTGTATAGATATAGGCCTGATCAGACCTCTTCTATCTGTATAGATATAGGCCTGATCAGACCTCTTCTATCTGTATAGATATAGGCTGTATCAGACCTCTTCTATCTGTATAGATATAGGCCTGATCAGACCTCTTCTATCTGTATAGATATAGGCCTGATCAGACCTCTTCTATCTGTATAGATATAGGCCTGATCAGACCTCTTCTATCTGTATAGATATAGGCCTGATCAGACCTCTTCTATCTGTATAGATATAGGCCTGATCAGACCTCTTCTATCTGTATAGATATAGGCTGTATCAGACCTCTTCTATCTGTATAGATATAGGCTGTATCAGACCTCTTCTATCTGTATAGATATAGGCCTGATCAGACCTCTTCTATCTGTATAGATATAGACTGTATCAGACCTCTTCTATCTGTATAGATATAGGCCTGATCAGACCTCTTCTATCTGTATAGATAGACTGTATCAGACCTCTTCTATCTGTATAGATATAGGATGTATCAGACAAAGCCAGACCCCATCTCAAACAAACTCAGCAATTATTTATTTATGTTTCTTCTTCTTCTTCCTCCTCCTCGTCTTCTTCCTCCTCCTCCTCCTTTTCCCTCTTTTTCAAACTCAGTGATGGACACCTCTCCTCTCCTCCACCCCCCTGATCACCAACGTCCCTCTCATTCACCCACCAATGCCACCCCTGCATGTTCATTCACCCACCATTTCTGCTGGTTGGAATGCCACGTCGCTGTCTTCTGCCCCCTATTGGCCAGGGATGGAAACTGGGCAGAATCATCCTCATTAGTTCTCATTGAAGACTTTAATCTAGCTATAGCTCTCTGCCGGTTACAAATGTGCGTGTTTTATGTGTCTGTGTGTCTAGTCAGACTGTCATGTCAAACAAAAGATGATTAAAAAAACTCTATGTATATATATATATATGTCACCCTAAAGTAAAGTAAATAGTTACACATTACATTTTACTTTACATGTGGACGAAAACACATGGAGAGCATGTTTTGTTTGAGAGAGGCAGAAATGTGATAGGTCTTCTTATGTCATTTGATCACATTTCTGCCCTTGTATCTGGAGGGGGATTCTGTGGTGGCTTTTTTGGTGCATATTTTCCCGGGGGGGCGGAAAATAAATCATTTTTCAATTAAGGTGTTTGCAAGCTGCATTGGGCTACAGGAGGCACTGCACAGTGAGGGGGAGATTATGAGGAGGACAAGGCAGGTAAAGTTCAGATGTTGCCGGTGGTAATGTGATTGGAAAAAAAGAAGGTGGTTGCTGGGAGGAAGATACTTTGGAGAGAGACAGAGTTATCTTATGTGTTTAAGCCAAGCCAAAGTCCACATGTATTGCTAAAGATATGGCCTCAGCTCTCTCTTTCAAGATCCTTACCCCTGAGCTTCTGATCTGAATGCTTGATAGGCTATGCAAGGTGGTTAGTGTAGCATTGAATGTGTTCTGTTCTTTTAACTGTGGTCATAGGGAGTGTGCTGGTCTAAAGCACACCACGGTTCATTAAGGCAATAGGAACTAGATAGTTCTGTTTACCCCAACGCTGTTTAACCAACTATCCATCATCAGATGGGATCAGTTCGAATGTTTCTTTCATTCCGCCACACAGACTCCTGATACAATACTATAAAACTGCATTAAAATGTATGTCTTCACACTGTTTTGTTGGATGTATTGTGTACTGCACTAGTTTAGGTTGTTAGATAACATTCCTTTCTTAGAAATTTCAAGCGTCTTACATTTGTTATGTTTTTTTTATTTTATGCTTGTAATTGAAGTGCACTAGTAATATAAATTCTACAGTCATGTAAAATGTGTTGTAACGGGAAGGTAAATAAAAAATTAAAGCATCAAAACGCATCTCGGTAATAAACTCAAATTAAAATGTATAGTGTTCTCCATTGTCTGTTCGAGTCAAATATATTATGACAAGCCATTGGAATCATCTACTTCAGGGATCGAGGTGGGGGGGGCCACAAAAAATCTGAGCGCGTCATGAGTGGCCGCAGTGGCTCCCGGGTCTGCATGCCAAGACATGCAGTAAGAGCCGGCCCTAGCCTTTTGGGGGCTCAAAGCAACATTTTGTTGGCCCCCCCACCTTGCGAGCAAAACATTTTAGCCGCCCCCCATCTTGACAGTGGATAGAAAACATTTCAGTTTTAGATTTAATTTCCTGCAATTCTATACATTTTGCCATGGGGCGTAGTGAAAATGTTGCAGTTTTTAAAGAAAGTTTTCTGCAATTCTACACATTTTGCCATGGGGCGGGAGAAAATGTTGCAGTTTTCAAGCACACATTTTGCCATAGCGTGAAGAGAAATGTTTGCACACACATTTCTGCCCTCGTATATGGAGGGTGATACTGTGTGTTTTTTTGTTGGGGTGCATGTTGTCCAGGGGCGGAAAATAAATAGTTTTTCATTGAAGGTGTTTGCAAGCTGCATGGGGCTGGGGGAGATTATGAGGGGAGATTATTATATTATAATTAATATTATTATTATGAGGGGAGATTATGGGGAGGACAAGGGAGGTCAACTTCAAATGTTGCTGGTGGTAAGATGGTTGCTGGGAGGAAGATACTTTGGAGAGAGAGAGACTTATCTTGTGTTTAAGCCAAGCCAAAGTCCATATGTATCGCTAAAGATATGGCCTCAGCTCTCTCTTTTAAGGTTTTTACCCTGATCTTCTGATCTGAATGCTTGATAGGCTATGCAAGGTGGTAAAAAATGTTTTTATTGTCACATACACCGGATAAGTACAGTGAAATGTGTTGTTTTACAGGATCAGCCATAGTAGTACGGCACCCCTGGAGCAAATTAGGGTTAAGTGCCTTGCTCAAGGGCACCAACAGATTTTTCACCTTGTCGACTCGGGTATTCGAACCAGCGACCTTTCGGTTACTGGTCCAATGCTCTAACGGCTAGGCTAATTTCCTGCAACTCTACACATTTTGCCGCAGGATGGAGAGAAATGTTTGGAGTTTTTAATATGATATCTGAGTGAGAGTGACTAACAAAATCAATGGGGGCCCTCCGGGTCGGTAATTCGACCATGATTACTACAAGTTTAGATAGCTGGCAGCTAGACTAATTTACCAATTTAAAACATTTTAGCTGACATGGGCTAATTGAGTGACTGTCAGTGACTGACATAACAAGAGAAACACTGCTGATGCACAACCACGTTTTGAAATGGCACCTTGTGTATTCCCTTATTCTAACTCTCAACAGTTCCTGAAAAAAAGGCCAGTCACCCATCCTTGATCTACTTCTTATATTATACGGCAATGGTTTTGAATAATGGGAGAAGGCCTAGTATAAGTACTTTTCTAATCTATTCCAATCCCTTTTTGGTGACAAGTAACTCAATATAATTGCCATGGAAGTCATAGTAGATTACATTAGAGATATACAGTGGTGTCTCTCTGTAGCTCTCAGTGTGGTGATAGACTTCCTCAGACTAATCACTTAGGGTTTGGTTGTGACTTTGGTTCTTTGGTAAGATTGTTGAGGTTTGTGTACAGTGGTCCCTAGCCCTGGTCCGTGCCTGGTTTATTTAGTCATAAATGATCAGTGTAAAATAGGGTTGTTCATTAATGGTACACATGAGGTTAATATAGTGTTTTGGTTTGTTTGTTGTTGTTGTTGTTGTTGCTGTTTGTTGTTGTTGTTATTGTTTGTAGTGGTGAGAGAGGGGCTAGCCTAACAGGGCTCACACAGGGGGCAGGGCAGGGAAACAGGTGCAGGTACCAGAACACATCCCCCTCTGTGTCCCCGGGGGGCTGGGGGAGGGGTGCTGGGAAGGTTCAGGTTACCCTGACAGGGGGAAAGAGGCATGGGGGGTGGGTGTCAGTCCCAGTCCCCAAAAAAAGCCACCAGTGTCTTTTCCACGTGTTAGAGAGCAGGGCTGCTGTCTGTCTGTCTGTCTGTCAGGACTGCTGTCTGTCTGTCAGGACTGCTGTCTGTCTGTCAGGACGAAAAGTCTGTCCTTCACATTTCAACCTTGAAACGCTGCAAGCATGGGGAAAGGGGTAAGTCCTCTTAATTTATTTATTAATGCATATGCAGAGTGGTGTTTTCCTATCCTTTAAACCAGGGCTGGGGTCAATTTCAATTTAAATTTAGAAAGTACACTCAAATTCCAAAGCATTCCAAAACATTGAAGGAAACTGGAATTTCAGTTTACTTCCTGAATTGACTGAAATGAAAAAGAATTGACTCTGCTTTATACACACACACACACACACACACACACACACACACACACACACACACACACACACACACGCACACACACACACGCACACACACACACAGTCCATCATATGACTATATGGTTGTGTTAGGGTTGGGTCAACTTATCGTCTAACACCAATCATGTCTAGGGCTGTAACATGCCAGTAACTTGTTTAGAGGATTCCGGATTTCCTGCTGATACCAGAAATCTCCAAAAACTCCAAAACCTGGGAATTTGGGGAAAGTTAGCCTAGTCATTTCACATACATACAGTAAGAGGCATCATGGAAAATCTAAGCCGTTTTTTCTAATAGCGTCTGCATTGACGCTGGTTATGCCGCAGTGTTGAGGCACATTGTAAGCACACTGGATAGTAGGATAAGGGCCTAGATAACTGGAAACATCATTATATTATCAATATTTCTATTGACACATATTACAGAATTTCAATTGTATCTTCTTCAATTCTAGCTGACATTTGTTTTTAGCAGGTGTTGGCAATTATCTGTTATACAGTATCACAGAGAAGAGGAAATTGGGGAAATTGCTGTCGGAGACGTTTCCTGCACTCCACCAGCTCTCTACTCTCTAAAACCCTTTTGATTGCTTTTTCAATGTGTCACTCTCACACGCGCACACACACACACACACACACACACACTCGTTTATTCTCTCTGTCGCTCATTCACTCATTCACACTGGGAAAGAAAGAGTGACAGCAGCAGATGAAATCCACGATGCTGCATTCTTCATCAGTGACTGTTCCAATCTGAAAAACACACACGCACACACACACACGCGCACGCACACACACACACACACAAACACACACACACACACAAACACACACACACACACTCAGACTGTCAGTGTAATGTGATAATCTCCTCAGAGTGGAGCAGAAAATGGAGGAGGAACGAGGAAGAAGAAGGAGAAGGATCTGGATGAGCTGAAGAAGGAGGTGTCCATGGTGAGAGAAACGGCCTGAGTCCCAAATGGCACCCTATTATTCACACCCCTTGCTGAGTCCCAAATGGCACCCAGCGCCTTCAAAAAGTATTCACACCCCTTGCTGAGTCCCAAATGGCACCCAGCGCCTTCAGAAAGTATTCAAACCCCTTACAGCCTGAATTTAAAATTGATTAAATTGAGATTTTGTGTCACTGGCATACACACAATACCCCATAATGCCAAAGTGGAATTATGTTTTCAGAAATATTTACAAATGAATTAAAAATGAATAGCTGAAATGTCTTGAGTCAATTAGTATTCAACCCCTTCGTTATGGCAAGCCTAAATACATTCAGGAGTACAAATGTGCTTAAAAAGTCCCATAGTAAGTTGCATGGACTCACTCTGTATTCAATAATAGTGTTTAACATGATTTTTGAATGACTACCTAATCTCTGTACCCCACACATACCATTATCTGTAAGGTCCCTCAGTCGAGCAGTGAGTTTTGAAACACAAATTCAATCACAATGACCAGGTAGGTTTTACAGTGCCTCACAAAGAAGGGCACCTATTGGTAGATGACAAAAAAACAAAAACAAAACAGACCCTTTGAGCATGGTGAAGTTATTAATTACACTTTGGATGGTGTATTAATACTCCCAGTCACTACAAAGATACAGGCGTCCTTAATAACTCAGTTGCCAGAGAGGAAGGAAACCACTCAGGGATTTCACCATGAGGCCAATGGTGACTTTAAAACAGTTACAGAGTTGAATGGCTGTGATAGGAGAAAACTGAGGTTGGATCAACAACCTTCTAGTTACTCCGCAATACTAACCTAAATGACAGAGTGAAAAGGAGGAAGCCTGTACAGAATAAAAAATATTCTAAAACATGCATCCTGTTTTCAATAAGGCACTAAAGTAAAACTGGAATTAACTTTATGTACTGAATACAAAGCGTTATGTTTGGGGCAAATCCAACACATCACTGAGTACCACTCTTCATATTTTCAAGCATGGGGGTGGCTGCATCATGTTATGGGTGTGCTTGTCAGCGGCAAGGACTAGGGAGTGTTTTTTAGGATAAAAATAAACAGAATAGAGCTAAGCACAGGCAAAATCCTAGAGGAAAACCTGGTTCAGTCTGCTTTCCAACAGACACTGGGAGACAAATTCACCTTTCAGCAGGACAATAACCTAAAGCACATGGCCAAATATACATTGTAGTTACTTACCAAGACACCATTGAATGTTCCTGAGTGGCCTAGTTACAGTTTTGACTTAAATCGGCTTGAACATCAATGGCAAGACTTGAAAATTGCTGTCTAGCAATGATCAACAACCAACTTGACGAGCTTGAAGAATTTTAAAAAGAATAATGTGCAAATATTGTACAATCCAGGTGTGCAAAGCTCTTAGAGACTTACCCAGAAAGACTCACAGCTGTAATCGCTGCCAAAGGTGATTGTAACATGTATTGACTCAGGGGTGTTAATAGTTATGTAATCAATATATTTTAGTGTTTTATTTACAATACATTTGCTAAAGTTTCTAAAAACATGTTTTCACTTTGTCATTATGGGGGTATTGTGTGTAGATGGGTGAGCAAAAATCTATTTAATAAATGTTTTATTCAGGCTGTAACACAACAAAATGTTTAATAAGTCAAGGGGTGTGAATACTGTCTGAAGGCACTGTATGTAATGCATTACTATTGACCAGAGCAGTAGTGCACCAAATTAGCCTGGGTACCAGTCTGTTTGTGGCATTAAAGCCACTCCTTGTCATGTCAAAGATGTTTGGAATGACAGCACAAACAGATAAGGGACCAGACTAGCACCAAACAGGGAATATGGGTGCCATTTGGGAGACGCCCTGGATGTCATGTGTGTTAAAACATGCTTGTGACAAGTTTAATTTTGAATAGTGACCTAGTTGTGACAGTACATTTGAGGAAGTCAGATTATTCTGCTGTTCTTTCACAGGATGATCACAAGATATCATTGGACGATCTGGGAAGACGCTACGGAGTCGACCTGGCTCGGGTAACACGCACGCACACACATGCAAACACACACACACACACACACACACACACACACACACACACACACACACACACACACACACACACACACACACACACACAAAGCTGCTTTGTCTTCCTTCTGCTCTGCTCTTTAATAACTTTATTCTGCCAGATCTAATCTCTACATAGCTATTGCCTTTGTCCTCGCTACACACAAACAACTGTTACTTTGGTCCATGGTGGTCCAAATTGAGTCCACAGGGTTCTCATCCCTGTCCCACATGGGAACCCAGCCATGGGATTTCTATTAGTTGTCTTCAGTGATATTATAGTGAATATCAGTGAAGTAACAGAGGTCTATCTATCACATCCTACTGACCTTATCTCACACAGAACCACAATGTTGTTCAGTGGCCATTTTGGAAATGGACGCCAGATGGTGATCGACAAAATCAATGATGGCACTATAGCCAAAAATACTTCTTTAGACATGCCATAGTTGTGTGTGAAATGTGGTGCTTCTATCACAAAAGGCAACTACAAATTAAAAAACGTGATTCTGTTATTGTGACTGTGACTGTCTCCCTGATGGATGATACCTGTGTTCCAGGGTCTGACCAATGCCAAGGCTCTGGAGGTGCTGGCCAGGGAGGGGCCCAACGTGCTGACTCCTCCTCCCACCACCCCAGAGTGGGTGAAGTTCTGCCGTCAGCTGTTCGGGGGTTTCTCCTTGCTCCTATGGATCGGTGCCATCCTCTGCTTCCTGGCCTACAGTATCCAGGTGGCCACCGAGGACGAGCCAGCCAATGACAACGTGAGAACCACCCGCGCTAGGCTACACACACACACACACACACACACACACACACACACACACACACACACACACACACACACACAGACACAGTATCCAGGTGGCCATCGAGGACGAGCCAGCCAATGACAACGTGAGAACCACAACAAGGCTAGACAACATAACATCTCTACACGATAACACTCCAGTCCTTTGCACAGCCATGGCCCTTTGATCCCATTTGGTGGCTAACAATCACAATTCCCTACAGTACAGCAGTCTATACACTACAACCCTTCTTCACGTCTAGTATGGTCTATCAGCCAGACTATGTTACGTTATATGTTCATGTTACGTTTGTCATTTACTAGCCCGAGTCCCAGATTTGTGTGTGCTCTGGCGTTTTGCAATGGGACTGAGTGACAAGGAGTTGGCACGATATAGCACAAACAGACTAGCACTCAGGCTATACAGGCGCGGTATAGTTATTAGCTAACACTGTCTATCGTAATCAGTGCACACCTGACTGCAAACATACTACATGCTACATGCAAACAACCCTCATCATCATCAACATCAACTTCACTTCACACACAATTATGTTGATATACTGTGTAGTGCCAAAAACCTATACATAATAAATAATATGACTGTAAATCACTTTGGATTAGCGTTGTAAAGTATATTACTAGAATCTTTTGACGTTTACCAGTAAACTACCAGAAATTTGGTAACTTTCACCTTTTTTTATTTTATTTTATCAGATGACATCTAGTGGTATTTTGGGGTACTTCAGATTATTACAGGTGTCTGTAATTACCTCTGGCCCTCTGTGTGGCCAATTCACATGTCAAATATAGAAAATAATAAAACAAAAGTAAATAGAAGATAATAACATCTGTCTGCTCATCTTGTTCTCTCTCTCTCTCTCTCTCTCTCTCTCTCTCTTCCTCCCCCTCTCTCTCTACCCGCTCCCGCTCTCTCTCTCCCCTCAGCTCGAACGCTAACCCTCCCCCCTCCATTCTACGCCCCGCCACTCGCCCCCCTCTCTACTCCCCTTCGACCCCTCGCTCACTAACCCCCCGCTCACCTACTGCCCCCTCTCTAACGCGACAGTCCTCCCTCTCGCCTAACTAAACTCCCCCTCTATCTCACCCTCCTCTCTACGCCATCCCCCCCAGTACCGCTACCCCCCGCTCTATCAACCATCCCCGCTCCACCTACCTCTCCTCACCCCCCTTTACCCGCACCCTCCTCGGATCTAGCCAACACTCTCCTCCTCCCACCCCCACCCCTGCTGCTACAACAAACCGAGCGCGAACTCCCATTGTAGACCCCGCCCACCGCCCTCGCGCCCCAGAAACCCACCACCTAACGCCCCCTCTTCTAGACCAACCCTCACTCTCCTGCCTACCTCCCCCCTCTCTCTACCTCCCCTCTCTCTTCTACCTCCCCCTCTCTCTCTACCCCCCCTCTCTCTAAACATAAATATGGGTTGTGTTTACATTGGTGTTTGTTCTTCACTGGTTGCCCTTTTCTTGTGGCAACAAGTCACAAATCTTGCTGCGTGATGCACACTATGGTATTCACACAATAGATATGGGAGTTATCCAAAAATTGGATTTGGTTTTCGAATTCTTTGGGGTCTGTGTATCTGAGGGAGATATATGTCTCTAATATGTCATACATTGGCAGGAGGTTAGGAAGTGCAGCTCGTTCCACCTCATTTTGTGGGCAGTGTGCACATAGCCTGTCTTCTCTTGAGAGCCAGGTCTGCATACGGCGGCCCTCTCCAAAAGCAAGGCTATACTCGCGGAGTACTGTACATAGTCAAAGCTTTCCTTAATTTTGGGTCAGTCACAGTGGTCAGGTACTCTCTCTCTGTTAATTATAATAATTGTTATTCTTTCTAATGTGTCAAGTACTATCTTTTGTTTTGATTTGGTTGGGTATAATTGTGTCTCTCTCTCTAATTGGGTCTCTCTCTCCCCCTCTCTCTCAATTCAATTCAATTCAAAGGGCTTTATTGGCATGGGAAACACAGGTTTACATTGCCAAAGCAAGTGAAATATTTCTCTCTCTCTCTCTTTCCCTCCCTCCCTCTCTCATAATAGTTGTACCTGGGTGTGGTCTTGTCAGCTGTAGTCATCATAACTGGCTGTTTCTCCTACTACCAAGAGGCCAAGAGCTCACGCATCATGGACTCCTTCAAGAACATGGTTCCTCAGGTGAGCTGAGCTGAGACTGCACAGTATACGTGTGAGTCCCAAATGGCACTACTTTTGACCAGGGCACAGGGTCCTATTCCCTTTAAAGTGCACTACTTTTGACCAAGGCCCAGGGTGCTGGTTAAAGGTAGTGCACTATATAGGGTTTAGGGTGCCATTTGGGACGCTGGCTATGGCTTGGTTAGCACAACAGTGCGTAAAGGCTATAACAGGCTAAAATCACTTAGATAGTCTTAGATTTAGACTAATTTTCTATAATAATAAGATATGGAATTTAGCTTACGTTTTTATCCAAAGCGACTTACAGTTGAGCGTGCATACATTTTACGTATGGGTGGTCCTGGGAATTGAATCCACTATCCTGGCGTTGCAAGCACAAAGCTCTACCAACTGAGCTAGAGAGGACAATTTTCTTTCCTTTGAGTGCCTCGAGTCTTACACTGACTTGAGAAGCATAATAAGCTTACCCAACATAATACAGCTAATAATTTGAGCCAACTTTGGATTTGCCACTGAATGTTTGCCAAAAAACGTTTAATTCTCTAATTTCATCCTCCCCTTTTTCTCTCTCTTTCATCCCCCCTCTCGCTTATCCATCCCTCCATCCCTCCATCCCTGGCAGCAAGCCCTGGTGATCAGGGAAGGAGAGAAGATGACGATTAATGCAGAGCTAGTGGTGAGGGGAGACCTGGTGGAGATCAAAGGAGGAGACAGGATCCCTGCCGACCTCCGAGTTGTCTCAGCCGCGGGCTGCAAGGTAAGGAGAGGAGAGGAGAGGAGAGGAGAGGAGAGGAGAGGAGAGGAGAGGAGAGGAGAGGAGAGGAGAGGAGAGGAGGGGAGGGGAGGGGAGGGGAGGGGGGGAAGGAGAGGAGAGGAGAGGAGAGGAGAGGAGAGGAGAGGAGAGGAGAGGAGAGGAGAGGAGAGGAGAGGAGAGGAGAGGAGAAAGTCCAAGAAGGCTGGATTATTTAGTTGCTCTCTCTCTCTTTCACTCTTTCTGTCTCTTTCTCTCTCTCGATAACTTTCCTCTGTCTGTGTGGGAAGGTGGATAACTCCTCTCTGACTGGGGAGTCAGAGCCTCAGACACGCTCACCGGAGTTCACCCATGACAACCCCCTGGAGACTCGAAACATCGCCTTCTTCTCAACCAACTGTGTGGAGGGTCAGTAGGACAAACCCTTTCCTATCTTTTTATTCATTTATTTGTATTGAACCTTTATTTATATTTGAAGTCAGAAGACCTATTATACAAGGGAGACCTGAGCTGACCTCCATTCCATCCATTTCCCCCCCATCACTCCCTCCCTCAGGCACAGCCCACGGTGTAGTAGTAGGGACCGGAGACCATACAGTAATGGGCCGTATTGCCACCCTGGCCTCGGGGCTGGAGACGGGCCAGACTCCCATCAATATGGAGATTGAACACTTCATTCAACTGATCACGGCCGTAGCTGTGTTCCTGGGGGTCAGCTTCTTCATCCTGGCCATCATCCTGGGGTACACCTGGCTGGAGGCCGTCATCTTCCTCATCGGCATCATCGTCGCCAACGTCCCCGAGGGCCTGCTGGCCACCGTCACTGTGAGTTAAGCCTTGTATGTCTGAGCCAGAATGAAGCCTATCTACTCCCCCCCCCCCCTGGACAGGATGCTAGTCTGTCACAGGGACCGTCACTGTGAGTCCGGCTGTTATATGGGACAAATTCTATTTTTTAAATAAGGAGTGGGGCAGTCGTTCTCCTTACGTATTTTTTATTTATTGGATAGGACAGAGAGGTAGAGAGGAAAGGTAGGTGGGTGTGCTGTAAAGGACTCTCCACAGTGATTTCACTGTCTACACAACGGAGCTCCGTTTGCGTTGCATTGCAAAAAAATTAAGCTGCCCAAAAGTGCATAAAACTACGTAGAGAGCTATGCAAACAAAGCTCAGTCGGATCCGTTGAGGATCCATTGCATGTGTGTAGCCCTTAAGAGCAGTGGGCCAGATTCAAACCGATGCTAGCAGCGATCCATTTATCTATTCTAGAGGCAGCAGCGTAGACTGCTAGACCACCCCAGGCAACAGACCGTTATTCTGCATATTGGCCAAACTATAATTCAAAATCTTCATGTAAATCTCCTGCTAAATCTCATCATTTACATCAAAGTCTATGAGAGTTTTGCTATGTAAAATCCTAAGTAGAATTTTGCATCTATCTGTCCATCTTTAACATTACCCTGATTAAGCAAATGGAACAACGACCCTCTCTTCCAAAAAAAAAATAAAAACCCAACCCCCCACCTCTCAAAAACCATCCAAGGGGGGAACTCCCGGCAGCAACGGGTAAAAACCCCGGACCCCCAAAACAAACCCCCAGCCCTCAAACCCCGATAACAAAATTTTTCCCGCCATAAAAACGAAAAAAACAAAAAAGTAAAAAAATATACTAAAATTTTTCCCCTTTTAAAAAATAAGAAAAAATACAAAAAAAATTACTAAAAAATCTACCCAAACCCCCTCAATAACCCCCCAAACCATAAATAAATTTTTCCCCATATTTTAAATTTAAACCCCCCCCCTTCCTTTTTTTAAAAAAATTCCAAATCAAAAGCTTTATAAACCCTATATTCCATTCTTTTTCACACATTCCCTTTCCATTAAAAAAAAAATTTTTTAAATTATTAAAACAACCCCTCCCAAAAAACATTTTCCAATAAATTTTTTTCCAAACACATTTTTCCCCCAAAACCCCTTTATTTATGAAATATCCCCCCATGAAAATTTTTTAAAATAATCCCCCTTTAAACTTCTCTCTCAAAATCTTCTATCCACTCCTATCTCTTTCCTTCTTTTCTTTAAAAAATTCTCCTCCTCATCCTTATATTATACATTCAACACCATCTGTTATTTCCCTTTTTTCTCCCTTATCTCCCTACATCCGTCTCCTCCTAGTTCCTTAAATTTTACTCCTCCTTCTCCTCACTCTCCTTCTCTCCATCCTTTTCCTCTCTTTTCCCTTTTTCTCCTCTTCCACTCTTCCTTTTCCATATTTTTCTCATTCCTTCTCTCCCCTCTCAAATTCCCTTTCGCTCACTCATCCTTTCGTCTCTCTCATCCACTCTCAAAACCATTTTCTTAAAACCATAAACTTTCTCCCCTTTTCTTCCCATTAACAAACAAAACAACTCTCTTTCTTCATCTCCACCCTCCCCTCACCATCTCTCTCTACTGCCCATCCACTATTTCTCATCATCATCCAACGTTTCTATACGTCCAATCCATCTCTATCTCCATCTCATCCATCGTCCTCTCTCCATCGCATCTCTCTCTCTCATCTCAAATCTCTCCAACTCTAACTGCCGACCATTCTTCATCATCTCTCCATCTCCAATCATCTCTCTCTCTCCATCTATCCACATCTCTCCCTCTCTCCCCAACAAACTCCATCCTCATCTCCATCATTTGCTCTCCAAAAAAAACATCATAGCTCTCAAATCAACGTTTTCCCATCATTCCCCATCTCATCCATTCTGCTCACCAACGCTAACCACATTTCCCCCATCTCCATCATCATCCATCCCTACCTAAAGCCTCTCAATCCATCCCCAATAACGCTACGCAATAACTTCTCACACCGTCAAAAGAAAGTAAAGAAGAGATAGCAATAAAGATAGAAATAAAGGCAGAGCAGTCTAAAAATACATCAGACTGAGACGACGAGTCAAAGTTAGAAATGCAAAAAAAACAAAAGACAGAAGAAGGATGAACATGGAACCCAAAACAAAGAGAATCCGAACCAACAGAGACCATCTCCACACAAACACCCGACGGCCAGCCCAACAAAATTATACATCACAATGCCATCATGACACCAAAAATCATCCGTATCTCTCATCAGCATCAGGATCAAAATCCGTTCCTCCAATCTATCAAATCATCCGTATCACAAGCTCTTCCCAAACTCATTCTCACAACAAGTCTCGGCGCACAATGCAGAGCATCGAGCCGCGCCCAGCCACCCAGCACGCCCGTCCACCAGACCCAGTCCAGCACCCAAAACTCCATCCAAAAACAAGATCCGACAGCATCCAGAACCACCCCCCACCAACTGCAGACTCCAGCCAAAAGGAGAGGCACACCAAAAGACCCCCCTCACCACGAACCGAATTATCATCGAATAAAGCCCTCAAAATTTTGCCAGCCATAGCTCTCATGCCCGAACCCCCACCATCCTCCCGCAAGAAAGGGCCCGATACAAGCTTCCCAAAAAATCTCTACTACATCTCACACCCCTTTTACTCTCGCTTTAAATCTCCCCATCCAAATTCCCCATCCCCACTCTCTCTCCCACCGCATGGGCCGCTCTCCATCCATCCTAGTCTCATCCATCTACTCTCATCTCCCAGCCAATTCCCCCAAACACAACTTCATCAACCTCCTCTCTCTCCAATCTCGCCTCCAATCTCCTCTCCATCATTCATCATCCTCATCATCTCCCTACTCTCAAGAAGTCTCTCCCTACTACTGCTCTCTCTCCGATATCTCCTCCCATCCATCTACAACTCTCTCCAGAGAAAGAAGAAAGAAGAGGGGAGAGAGAAGGGAAGGAAGAAAGAAAAGAGGGGGAAAAGAAGAAAGAAGAAAGAGAAAAAAGAGAGGAGGAAAGGGGGAAACGAAGGAAAAAAGAGAAGGAAAGAGAAAAAAAAAGAGAGAAAGGAAAAAAAAGAGAGAGAGAGAAAAAAGAGAGGAGAAAGAAAAAAAGAGAAAAGAGAAGAAAAGAGGAAAAGAGAAGAGAAAGAAAGGGAAGGAAAAAAAGGAGAGAGAGAGAAGAAAAAAAGAAGAAAGAGGAGAAAGGAGAAGAAAGAAGGGAGAGGAGAAGAAAGAAGCGCCAAAGAAGAAAGAAGGGAGAAGAGAAGAAAGAGGGAAAAAGCAAAGAAGGAAGAAAGAGGGGAGAGAAAGGAAGAAGGGAGAGAGAAAAGAGAAAGAGAAAGAGAAAAGAGGAGGAAAAGAAGAGAGAAAGGGAAGAGAAAAAAGAGTAAAGGAAGAGGACGTTTGGGGAGAGAGAGAGGTAGAGAAAAGGGGGGAAGAGGAGGGGAGGGAGAGAAAGGGGAAAAAAGAAAGGGGGAGGAGAAAAGGGGAAGGGGGACAGGGGGGGAGAAGAAGAGAGGGGAGAAGAAAAAAGAGAGAGAGAGAAAAAAAGAAAGAAGAGAGAAAAGGAGAGAAGAAGGGAGAGGAAAGAAGAAAGGAGAAGAAGGAAAGAAAGAGAGAGGAGAAAGAAGAGAGAAAGAGCGAAAAGAGGAGAGAGAAGAGAAGAAGAGGAGGGAAGAGAAGAAAGAGAAAAAGAGAAAAGGCGGAGGAGGAAGGAAGGGAGGGGAGAGCAAAAGAAAGGAGAGGAAAAAAGGAGAGAGGGAGAAGAAGAAGAAAAGAAAGAGAGAGAGAGAAGAGAAGAAGGAAAGAGAGAAAGAGGGAAAAGAAGAAAGAGAAAGGAAAAAAAGGGGGAGAAGAAAAAGAAAGAGAAAGAAAGAGGAGAAAAGAAAAAAGGAGAGGGAAGAGAAAGAAAGAAGAGAGAAAGAAAAGAGAAAAAAGAAAGAAGAGAGAGAGGAGAAAAAAGAGAGAGAGAAAGAACAAAATAGAATGAAACGAGAAAAACAGGTACGAATTAGAGAAAAAATAGAAAGTAAAGAGAATAGAGCTAGCCATATATATTAGATAATCCATATCTACTCCTCATACATCTCTCCAATCATCCATCGCTCTCTCATCTATCATCTCTCGTCTCATCCATTCTGTCTCTCTCCATCTCCATCCATCTCTCACTCTCATCTCTCCATCTCCATCTTCTATCTCCCTCCATCCATCCATCCTCATCTCTCTCATCCATTCTCGCTCTCTCTTTCCCCCTCTCTCCCCCTCCCTCCTCCTCCATCCCTCATCTCATCCATCCTCCCTCTCCATCCATCTCTCTCTCTAGAGTAGTCTAACCGTACTGCCAAGCGTACGATGGCCAGAACTGCCAGTAAGAACTCTGTAGACCACTGGGTCTGCAGTCCACCATCTGTCGACAAAGCACCGAACCAACGAACCATCAGCCCTGCCAATGCGCCTCGAACACACAATGATCCATACGAGGCCGGGGGCCACTCCGGAGCGACCCACGCATCCTCCTCTCAGGCGCCTCGAGCTCTCCCCAATACCTCCTCCCCATCCTCCTCTCCCTCCACTCACCCTCCTGCCTCTCCACCCTCCCCTCCTCTCTCTCTCCTCAGGTCTCCCCTTCCTCCACTTGCCTCCTCTCGAATTCTACCCTACTCACCATTTTGTCCGACAATACAGCCCTGACCCAACCATCATCTGCCCACATTTCACCATGACCATCGAGGCGATCCTAAAAACCCCGCCCCCAAAAACCCCCCTTTCCAAACCCCCTTAAAAACCCCCCCCCCTTTCCCATCCACACTTTTTCAGCAATCTCGCAGCCTCAATCCATTTTTCAAGAAGAGGGGAGACCAGATAAAGAGCTAAAAGGGAAAAAAAGATCCGAATAAAAAAAAGGAATCCATCATCCCACCAAAAACAGCCAATTAAAAGCCAGAGAGAACTCCCCAAAAGATCCCAACCTCCTCCCGATCATTCCGATCTCATATCACCCCCCACCCATCCCCTCCTCCCCCAAATTACACCCATGCTCTCTCCTTAACAGAAGCAAAGAATACCAGAATGAACAAACGAGTAGGAAAAACGGCAAATGACGAGCAAAAGGCTCCAACCACACCCTCAACAACCCGCTCAATCAACCATCATCTAGACCTCTAAACAGAATCTCAAGAATAAAAAACTTCTACCATCTCAGCCATCCAAGCGATCCTCCTCTCCCATCTCATCACCCTCCCCCAAACATACGCCCCATCGACCATCCTCTCCATCTCCCTCCCCCACCCCCTCCCTCCCATCCCTCCCTCCCCTCCCCCTCTTCCTCTCCCTACTGCCAAGCGTATGGCCAAAAAGAACTGCCTGGTCAAGAATCTGGAGGCTGTGGAGACCCTGGGTTCTACCTCCACCATCTGTTCCGACAAGACAGGCACCCTGACCCAGAACCGCATGACCGTGGCCCACATGTGGTTCGACAACATGATCCATGAGGCCGACACTACGGAGGACCAGTCTGGTGAGACCACCCACAGACATCATCTGTTTTTTCTACACTCAACCAGACACATTGAATTAGTGGACTACTCTGCTCTGAAAAATGAGCTGAATTATAATATGAATGCTGATACTGATAGAGCTCAGTCACATTGACACAGTGCATCATTCCTCTAAGTCTAGGGTTGCAAAATGCTGGTAAATTTCACAAAATGACCAGGTTTTTCAGAAATCCCAGTTGGAAGATTCCCAGAATCCGGATGAAAAACACAGGAAATCTGGGAATTCTTGAACTGGGATTTCTGGAAAACCTGGGAATTTAGGGAAAGTTACCATATTTTGCAACCCCAGCTCAGTCACATTGATACAATACATCCTCCCTCTGTAAAGTCTAATGCCTCTCATGTGTTCTCTCTGTCAGGTGCTACCTTTGATAAGAGCTCGGCTACATGGCACGCTCTGTCCCGTGTGGCTGGACTCTGTAACCGTGCTGAGTTCAAAGCTGGGCAGGAAAAGCTCCCCATTCTGAAGGTAGGGAATGTTCACATAGAGTTGGATAGATGGCACATAAAACATGCTTTGTAGCAAGGGCACCCTCCATCCAACTCTATGAATGGCCATTTTACACCTATACCCATGTGACTAATCATAATTTAGACACAGCCACTGTCTGCATCCCAAATGGCACCCTATTTCCTATTTAGTGCACTTAATAGGAAATAGAGTGCCAAATAGAGTCCCGTGTAGCTCAGTTGGTAGAGCATGGCGCTTGCAACGCCAGGGTTGTGGGTTTGATTCTCACAGGGGACCAGTACAAAAAATGTTTAACAAATTATGAACATGTATGCACTCACTACTGTAAGTTGCTCTGGATAAGAGCGTCTGGTTAAACATTTTTAAAAAATAATATTGGGGAAGCAGACATTGAATCGAATACCTCTAAAATCCCTTCCTAACTGCTACAATAACAGCAGAGTCCCATACTGAAAGGCCTGACAACATTTCCCAGCCAGCAACCCATTCTGACAACGTGAATAGACTGTCTCCTTCCCAGCCAGCAACCCATTCTGACAACGTGAATAGACTGTCTCCTTCCCAGCCAGCAACCCATTCTGACAACGTGAATAGACTGTCTCCTTCCCAGCCAGCAACCCATTCTGACAACGTGAATAGACTGTCTCCTTCCCAGCCAGCAACCCATTCTGACAACGTGAATAGACTGCCTCCTTCCCAGCCAGCAACCCATTCTGACAACGTGAATAGACTGTCTCCTTCCCAGCCAGCAACCCATTCTGACAACGTGAATAGACTGTCTCCTTCCCAGCCAGCAACCCATTCTGACAACGTGAATAGACTGTCTCCTTCCCAGCCAGCAACCCATTCTGACAACGTGAATAGACTGTCTCCTCCTGACTGTTTGATGCTGTGTTTCTTTTTTTTAGGGGGTAGATCAGCTTTAATATTGCAGATAGACTGTAACGTCCATCAATGTAATTGTCTGCATCACTTCCAATCCCCCATATGTTTGTTTTTTTCGCGCAAATATGTATATATATATTTATATATACACGTATACATACATGCATATGTATATATACATACACATACATACACATATACACATCCTTTTAAAAAATACATTTCCCTTTATTACCCTCCAACCCCACCACCCCTTCCCTAATTGGAGTAAACTAGTGAACAACAACGCTTAGGCCTCTACTTCCAGCTTATACATACTAAATACATTTTATGGACACAGTCAATTTTACAATAATTGTATTTTGTTTGTTTTTTACTCCTGAACTTCCTCTACCCTCAACCTCTCCGATCAGTTTCATGATGTCCATCCGGTTTGCTTCTACATGCCATATCTTTCTAACTGCTGTGTGTTTCTTAGAGAGACACTGCGGGCGATGCATCGGAATCTGCTCTGTTGAAATGTATCGAGCTCTCCTGTGGGTGTGTCCGCTCCATGAGAGAAAGAAACACCAAAGTGGGCGAGATACCCTTCAACTCGACCAACAAGTACCAGGTATACAATTACCCCCTACAACCATTTACTACACAAACATATACAGTGGGGAGAACAAGTATTTGATACACTGCCGATTTTGCAGGTTTTCCTACTTACAAAGCATGTAGAGGTCTGTAATTTTTTTATCATAGGTACACTTCAACTGTGAGTGACGGAATCTAAAACAAATGAAGAATTCCGGCTCTCACAGACCTGTTAGTTTTTCTTTAAGAAGCCCTCCTGTTCTCCACTCATTACCTGTATTAACTGCACCTGTTTGAACTCGTTACCTGTATAAAAGACACCTGTCCACACACTCAATCAAACAGACTCCAACCTCTCCACAATGGCCAAGACCAGAGAGCTGTGTAAGGACATCAGGGATAAAATTGTAGACCTGCACAAGGCTGGGATGGGCTACAGGACAATAGGCAAGCAGCTTGGTGAGAAGGCAACAACTGTTGGCGCATTATTAGAAAATGGAAGAAGTTCAAGATGACGGTCAATCACCCTCGGTCTGGGGATCCATGCAAGATCTCACCTCGAGGGGCATCAATGATCATGAGGAAGGTGAGGGATCAGCCCAGAACTACACGGCAGGACCTGGTCAATGACCTGAAGAGAGCTGGGACCACAGTCTCAAAGAAAACCATTAGTAACACACTACGCCGTCATGGATTAAAATCCTGCAGCGCACACAAGGTCCCCCTGCTCAAGCCAGCGCATGTCCAGGCCCATCTGAAGTTTGCCAATGACCATCTGGATGATCCAGAGGAGGAATGGGAGAAGGTCATGTGGTCTGATGAGACAAAAATAGAGCTTTTTGGTCTAAACTCCATTCGCCGTGTTTGGAGGAAGAAGAAGGATGAGTACAACACCAAGAACACCATCGCAACATGAAGCGTTGGAGGTGCACCGTATTGAGGGGAGGATGGATGGGGCCATGTATCGCGAGATCTTGGCCAACAACCTCCTTCCCTCAGTAAGAGCATTGAAGGTGGGTCGTGGCTGGGTCTTCCAGCATGACAACGACCCGAAACACACAGCCAGGGCAACTAAGGAGTGGCTCCGTAAGAAGCATCTCAAGGTCCTGGAGTGGCCTAGCCAGCCTCCAGACCTGAACCCAATAGAAAATCTTTGGAGGGAGCTGAAAGTCCGTATTGCCCAGCGACAGCCCCGAAACCTGAAGGATCTGGAGAAGGTCTGTATGGAGGAGTGGGCCAAAATCCCTGCTGCAGTGTGTGCAAACCTGGTCAAGACCTACAGGAAACGTATGATCTCTGTAATTGCAAACAAAGGTTTCGGTACCAAATATTAAGTTCTGCTTTTCTGATGTATCAAATACTTATGTCATGCAATAAAATGCAAATTAATTACTTAAAAATCATACAATGTGATTTTCTGGATTTTTGTTTTAGATTCCGTCGCTCACAGTTGAAGTGTAGCTATGATAAAAATTACAGACCTCTACATGCTTTGTAAGTAGGAAAACCTGCAAAATCGGCAGTGTATCAAATACTTGTTCTCCCCACTGTACATCAAAGACACAACTGCATAAACCAAAATGTTTTATTTATTGTACAAACACACCTACAGCACTATCCAAGTCCTTTGAACCACCAAATATTTAATGACAGCAATGAAAAAAATATACTCTTTTCTTCTACCATCTCTCTCTCCTTTTAAAGCTGTCCATTCATGAACAAGAGGACAATGAAAATGGCCACCTACTCGTTATGAAGGGAGCACCTGAAAGAATATTGGACAGGTATTTATTTACATCAAAACCGACTAACTAATGTGTCTCTCAATGGGTAGATACCAAAGAGTTGGATAGAGATATTTGGAGATAGTGCTCCCGAGTGGCGCAGTGGTCTAAGGCACTGCATCTCAGTGCTAGAGGCGTCACTACAGACCCTGGTTCGATTCCAGGCTGCATCACAATCCAGCTGTGATTGGGAGTCCCATGGGGCGGCTTGGTAAATAAGAAGTTGTTCTTAACTGACTTGCCTAGTTAAATAAAGGTGAAAAATAAATAATAACTATAATAATGGCACTGCCCATGCTTTCACAGAAACCATTATGCCAAAGATACATAGAGGTGCCCTCTATCCAACTCTATGATAAATACATACAGTGCCTTCAGAAAGTATTCACACCCCTTGACATTTTCTACATTTTGTTGTGTTACAGCCTGAATTTAAAATTGATTAAATTGAGATTCTGTGTCACTTGTCTACACACAATACCTCATAATGGAATTACACTGAACAAAAATATAAACGCAACATGCAACAATGCAAGATTTTTCTGAGTTACAGTTCATATTAGGAAATCAGTCAATTTAAATAAATAAAGTAGGCCCTAATCTATGACTGGGAATACAGATATGCATCTGTTGGTGACAGATACCTTAAAAAAACAGGTAGGGGTGTGGATCAGAAAACCAGTCAGTATCTGGTGTGACCACCATTTGCCTCATGCAGTGCGATCCATCTCCTTCGCATAGAGTTGATCAGGCTGTTGATTGTAGCCTGTGGAATGTTGTCCCACTCCTCTTCAATGGCTGTGCGATGTTGCTGGATATTGGCGGGAACTGGAACATGCTGTCGTACACGTGGATCCACTGCATCCCAAACATGCTCAATGGGTGACATGTCTGGTGAGTATGCAGGCCATGGAAGATCTGGGACATTTTCAGCTTCCAGGAATTGTGTCCAGATCCTTGCGACATGGGGCCGTGCATTATCATGCTGAAACACGAGGTGATGGTGGCGAATAAATGGCACGACAAGGGGCCTCAGGATCTCATCACGGTATTTCTGTGCATTGAAATTGTCATCGATAAAATGCAATTGTGTTCATTGTCCGTAGCTTATGCCTGCCCATACCATAACCCCACTGCCACCATGGGGCACTCTGTTCACAACGGTGACATCAGCAAACCGCTCGCCCACATGACGCCATAAACGCTGTCTGCCATCTGCCCGGTACAGTTGAAACCGGGATTCATCCGTGAATAGCACACTTATCCAGTCTGCCAGTTGCCATCAAAGGAGAGCATTTGGCCACTGAAGTCGGTTACGACGCCGAACTGCAGTCAGGTCAAGACCCTGGTGAGGACGACGAGCACGCAGATGAGCTTGCCTGAGACAGTTTCTGACAGTTTGTGCAGAAATTCTTCAGTTGGCAAATCCACAGTGTCATCAGCTGTCCGGGTGGCTGGTCTCAGATGATCCCGCAGGTGAAGAAGCCGGATGTGGAGGTTCTGGGCTGGCGTGGTTATACGTGGTTTGCTGCTGTGAGGCCGGTTGGACGTACTGCCAAATTCTCTAAAACAACGTTGGAGGCGGCTTATGGTAGAAAAATGAACATTCATTATCTCAGTTTGTATCACATTCCAATGATAAAACTGGGGGGGGGGGGGGGGGACAAAAATGCAATTTCAGAATGTGGGGGGGACATGTCCCCTCCGTCCCCTGTGAAAGTTACACCCCTGATGGGACCAACACTTTACATGTTGCATTTATATTTTTGTTCAATGTATGTTTATAGAAAAGTTTACAAATTAATTAAAAATTAACCTATAATGTCTTGAGTCAATAAGTAATCAACCCCTTAGTTATGGCAAGCCTAAATAAGTTCAGGAGTTTAAATGTGCTAAAGACGTCAAGTGCATGGACTCTGTCTGTGTGCAATAATAGTGTTTAACATGATTTTTGAATGACTACCTAATCTCTGTACCCCACACATACAATTATCTGTAAGGTCCCGCAGTCGAGCGGTGAATTTCAAACACAGATTCAACTACAAAGACAAGGGAGGTTTTCCATTGCCACGCAAAGAAGGGCACCTATTGGTAGATGGGCAAAAAAAAAGCAAACATTGAATAGCCCTTTGAGCATAGTGAAGTTATTAATTAGACTTTAGATGGTGTATCAATACACCCAGTCACTAGAAAGATACAGGCGTCCTTCCAAACTCAGTTGCCGGAGAAGAAGGAAACCGCTCAGGGATTTCAGCGTGATGCCAATGGTGTCTTTAAAACAGTTACAGAGTTTAATGGCTGTGATAGGAGAAAAATGAGGATGGATCAACAACATTGTAGTTACTCCACAATACTAACCTAATTGACAGAGAAGGAAGCCTCTACAGAATAAAAATATTCAAAAACATGCATCCTGTTTGCAATAAGGCACTAAAGTAAAACTTTAAAACATGTGTGCAAAGAAAGGACCTTTTATCCTGAATACAAAGCGTTATGTTTGGGGCAAATCCAACGCATCACTGAGTACCACTCTTCATATTTTCAAGCATGGTGGTGGCTGCATCATGTTATGGGAATGCTTGTCATTGGCAAGGAATAGGGAGTTTTTTTGGGTAAAAATAAAAGGAATAGAGCGAAGCACAGGCAAAATCCTAGAGGGAAACCTGGTTCAGTCTGCTCTCCAACAGACACTGGGTGGCAAATTCACCTTTCAGCAGAACAATAACCTAAAACACAAGGCCAAATATATACTGTAGTTGCTTACCAAGACAACATTGAATGTGGCCTAGTTACAGTTTTGACTGAGGTCGGTTTGAAAATCTATCGCAAGACTTGTAAATGGCTGTCTAGCAGTGATCAACAACCAACATGAGAAATATTGCTCAATCCAGGTGTGCAAAGCTGTAATCGCTGCCTAAGGTGATTCTAACATGTATTGACACAGTGGTGTGAATATTTATGTAAATTATATCTTTCTGTATTTCATTTTCATAAAATTTGCTCAAATTTCTAAAAACATGTTTTCACTTCGTCATTATGGGGTATTGTGTTCAGATGGGAGAGAAAACAAATGAATTGAATCCATTTTGAATTCAGGCTGTAACACAACAAAATGTGGAATAAGTCAAGGGGTGTGAATACTTTCTGAAGGGACTGTATCTCACTGGCTGACAGCAACAGGTGAATAATAGCCCCTATTGTATGTCTCTTAGGTGCAGCACCATCTTGATCCACGGCCAAGAGGTTCCAATGGACGCCAACTGGATCGAAGCTTTCCAGAGTGCCTACATGGAGCTGGGAGGGCTGGGAGAAAGAGTTCTAGGTACGTACACTACAGCACATAGTGCTATTTGGGACTCAACCTACGTTTGCTATATACGGATCACACATGCCACCTGGCTATTGTCTGTGCCCTTCCTTTCCATGTCACATCTCCCGATCTGTTCCTTACATCTGTCCCATCATAAAAACTCAATAAAATACGAAAGAACATCGGCACTTTTGATCTCCTTCAAAAAATAAAACATAAATAAAAGAGTCCCTGTCTATTTGTTTTGTTTCTCTCTCCCTCAGGGTTCTGCCACTTGCCCCTGTCTCCGGCCCAGTTCCCTCGGGGCTTCGCCTTTGACTGTGAGGAGGTCAATTTCCCTATAGAGGGAATGTGTTTCGTGGGTCTCATGTCCATGATCGATCCTCCTCGCGCCGCCGTCCCCGACGCTGTGGGGAAATGCCGCTCCGCTGGAATTAAGGTCATTGGCACAATAAACCAACCAACAAACCATTCGATCAACCAACCAACCAACCAACTAATCAATTGATCAACCAACCAACCAACTAACTAATCAATTAATCAACCAACCAACCAGCAATCCAACCAACAAATACATTAATCAACCAACCAACGAACTAATACATGAATCAACCAACCAACCAACCAACCAACCAACCAACCAACTAATCAATTAATCAACTAACCAACTAACTAACTAATCAATTAATCAACCAACCAACCAATCAATCAATCAACCAATCCAACAATCACACAAAATGTAACTTTCACAAATTCCCAGGTTTTCCAGAAATCATGGTTGGAAGAATCATGGAATCAGCAGGGGGTAATTAGGAAATCCGGGAATCCTCCAACTGGAATTTCTGGAAAACCTGGGTATTTTCAGAGTCACTAGAGTCAAGTAAAAATAAAAATTACATACTAATATATATATATATATATATATATATATATATATATATATATTATATATATATATACATACAGTACCAGTCAGAAGTTTGGACACACCTACTCATTCAAGGGTTTTTCTTTATTTTTACTACTTTCCTCATTATAGAATAATAGTGAAGACATCAAAACTATGAAATAACACATATGGAATCATGTAGCAGACCATAAAGGCCTGATTCACACAGTCCCCTCTGAACAGTTGATGTTGAGATGTGTCTGTGACTTGAACTCTGTGAAGCATTTATTTGGGCTGCAATTTCTGAGGCTGGTAACTCTAATGAACTCATCCTCTGCAGCAGAGGTAACTCTGGGTCTTCCATTCCTGTGGCAGTCCTCATGAGAGCCAGTTTCATCATAGCGCTTGATGGTTTTTACGACTGCACTTGAAGAAACGTTCAAAGTACTTGAAATGTTCCGTATTGACTGACCTTCATGTCTTAAAGTAATGATGGACTGTCGTTTCTCTGCTTATTTGAGCTGTTCTTGCCATAATATGGACTTGGTCTTTTACCAAATAGGGCTATCTTCTGTATACTTGTCACAACACAACTGATTGGCTCAAATGCATTAAGAAGGAAAGAAATTCCACAAATTAACTTTTAACAAGGCACACCTGTTAATTGAAATGCATTCCAGGTGACTACCTCATGAAGCTGGTTGAGAGAATGCCAAGAGTGTGCAAAGCTGTCATCAAAGCAAAGGGTGGCTATTTGAAGAATCTCAAATATATTTTGATTTGTTTAACACTTTTTTGGTTACTACATGATTCCATATGTGTTATTGCATAGTTTTGATGTCTTCACTATTATTCTACAATGAAGAAAGTAGTAAAAAATAAGAAAAACCCTTGAATGAGTAGTTGTTTCCAAACCTTTGACTGGTACTGTATATAGAATCTCCTGGAAGTCTATAAATGAGCAAAAACACAGAAAAAAGCTCAAGTACAGTTCATGTGGTGACAGGTATAGATGACATAAGATGTGTTTATAGTTGTGATGATGTTTATGGTTCTCTACTGCCGTCAGGTCATCATGGTGACTGGCGACCATCCCATCACTGCCAAAGCCATCGCTAAAGGCGTGGGTATCATCTCAGAGGGCAACGAGACAGTGGAGGACATCGCTGAAAGACTGATTATTCCCCTGAGTCAAGTCAACCCCAGGTGTGTGTATGTGTATGTATGTATGACTTTCCACGTTGTTGTTTCTCATATGTCATAAAATTTTAGCTTCTGCTTTTTTACCTTGCTACGTATGCCAAACTTGACAAATGCTATCATGAAAGAAGACCACAATGGAAATAAGTTGTTTACTTTTTTGTGTTTATCCTAGATGATTATTGATCACGTGCATAATGTTATATGTGTACCTTGTTTCACATTTTTTAATAAACGAAACGTAACAAAAAAAATATGTTGGCTTGTATCTGTCTCTCTCCCAGAGAGTGCGTGTGTTTGTGCGTGGGTGTGTGTGTGCGTGCGTGTATGCATATGTGAGCGCTTGTGTGTGTGACTGTTCGCGCCCGTGTGTGTATCTGTGTATTTGTGTGGTTTCTCACTGGGGGCTGGTGTCTGTGTGTCTCTTCCAGGGATGCCAAGGCCTGTGTGGTGCACGGAGGGGACCTGAAGGACATGAGCGCAGAGTACCTGGATGACCTGCTCAGGAACCACACTGAGATAGTGTTCGCCCGCACATCACCTCAGCAGAAACTCATAATCGTAGAGGGCTGCCAGAGAACGGTGAAAGGATGTCTGTGTGTGTGCGCTTGTGTGTGTGTGGGTGTGTGTGTGCGCGCTTGTGTGTGTGCGCGGGTGTGTGTATTTGAGTCTCTATAATGAAAGCATGAGTCAGGGATTCTGAATCTATTATCCTGTTCAGACTTAGATACTGGGGAGCTATTATCCCTATAGAAAAGTATTTGATGGGAAAATTGCTCCAGAATTGACACACCGTAAAACTTAAATTAAACGCAGAGTCTCAAACCGCCGCTGTCTCTTTTAACAATAGCTGGGTAACTGCACACATTTCAGCAAATAAACGCCTGTTTCAAATAAACGCTGGGTCTAAATTAAGTCTTTACGTGGTTACCATGAATTATCATGAATTGTTTGCGAGGTTCTATGATTTTTTTACATTCAATAATTCAGTAATGACTCAAAAAAAATGATGTCAATCATCCGTTTTTATCACCAGTAAGAAACTGTTGAGCAGCTGAGAACTGCTAGTTAACGGGCAAGCACAAAAACAGTCAACAAGTTCGGGACTACAGACCCCCAGAAAACAGCCGATCGACCCTTCTAGTGGCGAAAGTTACAAATGTAAAAAATGCACAGTCAAATAGGATAATAATTACTCTATCAAGTTAAAGTTTTTCAAAATAGAGGCATACTAAGACAAAAGAAACGTGACAGTGTGTAAAAGATAACACATTATTGCAGGGAATTAAGAAATTGATTAAAATGCTGGAAGTGAATGCTGGAATTAAACAATTAACTATGCAAATGAGCAAAAGCTGTGTGCATTAAGGAATTAGATGCCTAACTCAAATATAAGCCTGTCTCTAATAAGCGCCTGTTGTGTTCAGTGATTTAAGCAAATAAACACCCTGGCTATTAATTTAAGTTTTACAGTGGGAGGAAAAGCATTGAAACACTGCATTTATCTCCCATTCACAGCAGTTTTTCAACTAAAATGTTTCTTATTTTCTGACTCTGAATTCTCTTGTTCTAGGGGGCAATCGTGGCGGTTACTGGGGACGGAGTGAACGACTCACCTGCCCTGAAGAAGGCTGACATTGGGGTTGCCATGGGGATCGCTGGGTCTGACGTCTCCAAGCAGGCTGCAGACATGATCCTCCTGGATGACAATTTCGCCTCTATTGTCACAGGAGTAGAGGAAGGTAAGAAAGGACGGAAGGAAGGAAGGAAGGAAGGAAGGAAGGGAGAGAAGGAGAGAAAGAAGGAAAGATTGAAAGAAAGAAAGTGAAATAACTTAAATCTATCTGTTCTTCTTCAATCCCAAACAGGTCGTCTGATCTTTGATAATTTGAAAAAGTCAATCGCCTACACCCTGACCAGTAACATTCCAGAGATCAGCCCCTTCCTCCTCTTCATCCTCGCCAGCATTCCCCTGCCCCTGGGCACCGTCACCATCCTCTGTATCGACCTGGGCACAGACATGGTGAGGACCCACACACTGAAATAGTCTCTGGGGCGGTTTCCCGGACACAGATTAAGCATTGGTCCTGGATTTAAAAGCGAGAATCTCCATTGAGAGTGCTTTTTAGTCCAGGACTACTTCATTTGTTCCTTTAAAGTTGTAATGTTCTTTAGCAGTCCATTTGTTTGAACTTTTCTTCTGCCGCTAAAGAACATTACATTTGAAAGACTTTTTCAGTGAGTGCAGTTTTCCTTTTCCAGTTTATATGCACTGAAAGACTCCACTCATCATATCTCCACTCATCATATCTCCACTCCTCATATCTCCACTCATCATATCTCCACTCCTTGACACTCAGTCACAAGCAGACGTTCTCTCAGCTTGATCATACATTACCTTTCAATCTATAACTCACCACTACCTTGCCCTGGGTCAGGGTGAGTTCTGCTAAATCCTCTAAAGCGAATTGGATTTGTATCCACTGCTGTGAGGACTCTAGTCTCACACTGGGTTAAGTCCATTTTCCACTTTAACTCACACACATTGCCCTGTTGTTGCCTCACTGGTAACGCCTTAAACCAATAGTCAGGGCTTTTTTATTACGGAACCTATAGATTTGTCACATTGTTCTCTGTCATACATTGTCTCAAACTCCTCTCTCTCTCTCTCCATCTCTCTTCATTAACTCCCTCTCCTCTCAACCCTATCTCTGGTTACAGGTTCCTGCTATCTCGTTGGCCTATGAGACGGCTGAGAGTGACATCATGAAGCGTCAGCCCAGGTGCCCAAAGACAGACAAGCTGGTGAACGACAGACTGATCAGCATGGCCTACGGACAGATAGGTCAGAATACCTGTCGGGCTCATCCGTGTTTCTGTGTCCTAAATGGCATGCTATCATTGGCCCTGGTCAAAAGTAGTGCAATATATAGGGAATAGGGTTCCATTTGGGATGCAAGCCTTGTGTTTATAAGCCATTTTTGGGTGTCCCCCCCAAATGGCACACTATTCCCTATATAGTGTACTACTTTTGTCATAAGTAGTGCACTAACAGAGAATAGTGTGCCACTTGGGACACACTCTTTGTATTTTTGCCCTCTGTTGTTCATGCCAGTTATTGAAACAGATATTATATTGTGCTGATGGACTTGTCTCTCTCTCTCCAGGTATGATTCAGGCTCTGGCTGGTTTCTTCACCTACTTTGTGATCCTGGCTGAGAATGGCTTCTGGCCAGAGACCCTCCTGGGCATCCGTCTGAAATGGGACGACCGTGCTAACAACGAGGTGGAGGACAGCTATGGACAGCAATGGGTGAGACAGAGAGTTTAACATATCCATACAGTCTGTAGCTGTATGGAACCACAGCAAGCTTATTTTTTAAAAGTAAACTTGCACACCTTGACATACTACTAGGTGCATGGAGAAAAGTGTCATCCATAAAAATACAAAATACAAAAATGTAGTCAATCAAATAAAATAAATTCAGCCCACTGGTAATTTTGTTGCTTCTAACAATTGAATGAATCTAAATTGTTGGAAGCATCAAGAGCATCATTTTTTATTGACAACTAAAACAGTTTTTCAGTTGTAAGTATACTAGGACGTGTTTCCTTTACACAGACCTACGAGCAGCGAAAGATCATTGAGTTCACCTGTCACACCTCGTTCTTTGTGAGCATCGTGGTAGTGCAGTGGGCCGATGTGATTATCTGCAAGACCAGGAGGAACTCTGTCTTTCAGCAGGGCATGAAGTAGGTGGAAACTGCGAAGTCTCAAATGACACCCTAGTGCACTACTTTTCACCAAAGCCCATAGGGCTCTGGTCAAAAGTAGTGTACTACTGTATATAGGGAATATGATTTTTACTTTGTATAAGTATGTACTGTATTTGTAAAAAATCTAAATGTGTCTTGTCCAATTCTTTCTTCTTTTCACCTCTCCCATCTCCATTTCCTCAACAGGAATCGTATCCTGATCTTTGGCCTCTTTGCTGAGACTGCTTTGGCTGCCTTTTTGTCCTACTGCCCAGGAATGGACATCGCCCTCCGCATGTATCCCCTGAAGTCAGTACAACACAGCACCCTAAAAACAAGGACATCCCATCCCCAATACCACTGTCTTTAATTCTACCCCAAAACTACTAAGTCCCTCACATGCCTTTCTCATATCACACCCTCAACTCCATGGATTTTACAATGAACTGTTTCCTCTGAAGTCAGTACCACACACGTCTCCACTCTGCAATACCCTAAACACTTCCAAAACAAATCCCTCAAATGTCTTTCTCATATCACACCCTCATATCATCCCAATGATTCAGTGTGAATCTGAATAGATTTTACAATGAACTCCAACAACCACTCCTCCTTTGTTTCACTCTCTCTCGTCTCTTTCTCTCTCTCACTCTCTGTCTCTCTCTCCGTCTCTCTCATTCAGGGTCTCCTGGTGGTTCTGTGCTCTACCCTACAGTCTCCTCATCTTCATCTATGATGAGGTCCGCAAGCTCATCATCAGGAGGTATCCTGGAGGTGGGTGACATAGTGACATAGAAAGACATAGGTGACATAGAGAGACGGACACTGAGAGTCACAGAAGATGCATTGTCTGTCACTGAGTGTCTGTTCTGTAAGGAGGAGACAAATCAAGAGATTCACAAAAGATCATTCATAATGACAGTTATTCGCTCATGTTAATCAGTCATGTTAATAAATCAGATTGATGTGCTGGGGATCAGTCACTGAGTTAAAAGGGCTTTGTCATATTGAAGCACTAAGAGGAAGAGATAATGGTATATAATGATGTTGTCTAATACAATCATTCTTGTCTGACTAATTTTAATCTTTCTCTTTTATAGGTTGGGTGGAACTGGAGACATATTATTAACATTCAGAAAAGTATTATTGTGAGTTTGAATTTCTGAGTCTGCGTGTATGTGAATGAGTCAGTATGTGTGTATGCAAGGTCTAGGTAAGCAAAGAACACAGCTTTTGTATGCGCAACAAAACTACCTTACAAATTGCATTTTGTCTTTGAAAATAACAAACAAGCCTACATAATAAGCCTACATTACCACTGAAAATAAGCCAACATTACCACTGTAAATAAGCCTACATTACTACTGAAAATAAGCCTACATTACCACTGAAAGTAAGCCTACATTACCACTGAAAATAAGCCTACATTACCACTGCAAATGCTGCTAGTGTGTGTGTGTGTGTGTACACTGAGTGTACAAAACATTAGGAACACCTTCCTAATATTGAGTTGCACCACCGCCTTTTGCCCTCAGAACAGCCTCAATTCGTTGGGCCATGGACTCTACAAGGTGTTGAAAGCGTTCCACAGGGATGCTGGCCCATGTTGACGCCAATGCTTCCCACAGTTGGGTCAAGTTGGCTTGATGTCCTTTGGGTGGTGCATCATTCTTGATACACACGGGAAACTGTTGAGCGTGAAATACCCAGCAGCGTTGCAATTCTTGACACAAACCGTTGCGCCTGGCACCTACTACCATACCCTATTCAAAGGCACTTAGCTCTTTTGTCTTGCCCATTCACCCTCTGAATGGACATATACATATGTCTCAATTGTCTCAAGGCTTAACAATCCATCTTTAACCCGTCTCCTCACCTTCATCTACACTGATTGAAGTGGATTTAACAAGTGACATTAATAAGGGATCATAGCTTTAACATGGATTCACCTGGTCAGTCTCTGTCATGGAAAGGGCAGGTGTTCTAAATGTTTTGTATACTCAGTGTATGTGTGTTTTTACAGTATTTGTGTGTGTGTATGTGTGTGTGTGTGTTTGTCTGTCAGTCAATTGGTCTGTTATTGCACGGATCAGTACACCATTCTGGTTATCACAGAGAATACTGCTGCAAATAAAGCCTGTAATTGTGATTGATATTGCTGAGTTTTGACAATAACTATACTGGAAGGGCTTTCCAAACCCAAATGTCAAGCAAACAAGATGTTGCAAAATGGCTGTAGCATACAAACGCACCCTAAATCGTTTTTGCTTCACCAAATAAAATGTATTTCAAAAGCAAAACATGTCAATTTAATTGCATCAATGATCAGTACTGAAGACTGTGGTTCCATTCCAAATGGCACCCTATATTCCATACACAGTGCACTACTTTTGACCAGAGCCATATGGGCATTGGTCAAAAGTAGTGCACTATATAGGGAATATAGGGTGAAGTTGGAACACCACATATGACAGATGGGACGTTGGGTGAAAATGCGTTGCTCTGAAATGTGTCTCGATATGAAATAAAGTTCATCTGCACAAAGCAGTTGTTCATGTTTGCCCTTTTGTAACCTATTACCAAATATATTATTACAACATTCATATTATTAGGTCATAAATGATAAGAGCATCCACTTCCTAGGACCTAGATCAATATACAGCCTATTTAACCTTATCCCTTGATCATGACTCTCAGTTCCATTACATTACACATAAGAGTCATTGGACGAAGGCGTCTTTGGTTTAGAGGCAACGTTCGGTCTGAACATTAACAAGCATCGGTTGCAGTACGGTTTTGGAAGCAGACCTAATCTTCATGTCGAATTACGTGAGGCTTATTTGATCTAATAGAAGTTTAGGCTGTTACAAATGTACTTATATAAGGGGATGCACTTGGCATTGCAGAACTTTGAGAAAAGCTAGGTATGCCTGTTGTTCACGTGCATATCTGCCCTCTCATTGGCTAGAATGGTCCCACCTGATCTCGCTTGCCCGCAATAATTGAGGACCTGCGTTTCAATTTTTTCCATGTAATAGATCATCTTTGGTGTAGATATTTTTTTTCCTTAGGCCATTTTGATTTTCCATTCTGACCTTCTCATGAGGATCGTCAGGGTCTCTGCTATCCGGGATCCTGGGACGTCCATATCCCCCATTGAAGTTGACATTTTGAATGGGTAAGGGTCACTGTTAATGTTAGGGGTAGGGTAAGGGTCAAGGTCAAGGTCATGATTAAGGTTAGGTTAGAGTAAGGGTATGGACGTCCCAAGGATTCCGTCTAGCATTGACTTGACCGTCAGGAAAAATATAATAACATCCGTTTACGCCATATCCTGTTTCAGCTGTTAAAGAAACAATGGCGTTACTTCTAAGGTCAGTAGCTACCTGTGCCTTATCTAACTTTGAGACAGTTTATTTATGTTTACATTTCGTTTGTTGGTTAGACATACGTGTAATAATTATTAATTTGTCTTAGAGTGATGTTCAAATAGATTTATTTAGCTAGAGAGCTTGGGTCACCCTACTATCGTCATAACATTGTTGCTTGCGACACATACTAACCTTAGCATGCTAGCTAGCTCCTCCTGTGACAACAGATTTTAGATATACAGCAAGTTATTTTGATAGATATAAACGCTAAAATGAGCTTTACATTCCTATGGAAACAATGCTTCAAAGTTCCATGTATATAACCAGCTAGCTAGATTGCTTGTGTAGTATCCTCGTTAGCTAACCTAATATGTACTCTTAAGGAGCCAACCTTTACTCCTTTAGGGTCCAAGGACCTTGTATGTTATTTTCAGAGGTAGACTGGCTCTGGCAGCCAAAACAGCCAAATTCCCCATCTAAACGTGAATTAATGTTCAATTGCGATACGGTTCTAGAAACAAAGCCCTTTACTTTCGTATCACATTCTTCAGTTACACACAGGTGTTCGGAGCTAGCCCTCGATCTTGACTCAGTTCCATTACATTACACGTAAGTCATTGTACAAAGGCCTCTTCTGTAAGGGTGAGTTTTGTTAAGAGACCTGACGCTCAATCGGAACATTAATACACGTCACTTGCGGTTTTGGAAGCATAAGGACCTTATCTTTCATATCAGTGAGAAAGAAAATAAATAAAAAATAGTTTAAATTGATACACACCTTGATAGGGTTAGTGTACCCACACGGCCCTATTGCCATGTTACAGCGCTTGTTTACGGACAGAAGACAGAGGCGACCACCTGTACTAATTAGCTATCTAGCATGCTCCGAACACCTGTGGTATGTCTAACTCGGGAAGTGTAGTTTCTAGGATGGAGGCACCCACAGCTGTATGGATCTGTAACTGCTACAGTAAGTGTACATTTTTATTTGAAGGATTCTTTCTCGCTGATGAAAGATGAGGGCCATATGTTTTGAAAGCCGTGTCACAAGCGATGATTAGTGAAGTTTCTAAAAGTTAAAACACAGCGTCGGGATTGTAGTTCATATGAGCCTGTCATGGGTGAAGCTGACGGCTGAGAAATTTAGGGAGAATGCCGCCTAGAGTTTGAGAGCTAGTTTGGCACATGTTAGATACTGTAACTAATTAGCACAGGGGGTCCCTCTGTCTTCCGCAAACACTCGTTGTAACATGGAGATGTGGCCGTGTGGGAACACTAACCCCATAAAGGTGTGTATCAATTTAACCTTTTGTTTTTTGAAAAGTATTTCTCGTTGATCTGAAATAAAGTCCTTATGCTTCCAAAATCGTGCATCAAGCGATGGGTGTTAATTTTCAGAACGAGCGTCGGGGCTCTTAATAAAATTCCCCCATACAGAAGACTCCTTCGTCCAATGACTCTTATGTCTAATTTAATGGAACTGAGAGTCATGATCAAGGACTAGCTAGCTAACTTGTCCCAACCTTTGGATGTGGGGTTATCTAGGGATTCCTTAGCCGACTAAACTCAACGATTTACGACTAGTGTGGGCTTCCGATGTCACATAAAATTATGTTTTTATAAAAAAACGACTGATTTCAGCACCCAAAGAATAGCCCGCAATTACACAGAACAATGTCATGTGTAATTGCGGGCTATTCTTTGGGTGCTAAAATCAGTCGGGATTCCTTAGCCCAATAATGAACTAAAGGAGCCTAACGTTACTCTTTCTAGTCCAAGGACCTTACATGTTCTGTTTAGAGGTGAATTGGGTCTGGCAGCCAAAACAGCCAATACTCCATCACTTGCAGCCAATAGTATTTTTCAGTGACAACACGTTTGTGGCGTCAGTCTTCCATTTACACAGGTGTTTGGGGACTCGGATAGCTAATTATCACAGGTAAGCCTCTGTCTTCCGCCTGTTTTCCGTAAACAATCGCTGTAACATGGAAATATGGCTGCGTGGGAAACCCAACCAAACCCTCAGGGGTCGCGTTAACGCAGAATTTTGCCTTTTTCATGCAGAAAACGAAAGATTAAACGCAGAAAAAATATCTTACTGCGTTTTGTACATGTACATCTAAAATGCTTCTAATTGTAAATTCTGCTCGGCTTCAGTGAGGGTTCGTTCCAAATCATGAATGTAAAAGTACTAATTTCGTGCTTCAGTTGCACTTCTCCACTCGGATGAAATATATTTGCCCTTGTCACTGGTTCACCAGCGCTCTGACTGATATGTAGCAACAAATTATCCATTATATTGACTGGATACTGAAGTGGCCGCTCCGGAACCTAAAAGAAAAAGATCAGGAGGGACCATTCTAGCCAATGAGAGGGCAGATATACGCGTGTGAACAACTGGCACAACTCCGATATAAAGTGTTTTTTCTCAAAATTGCCGGGATGTCATGGTCCTACTTATATCAGTACACTCGTAACAATTTAAACATTACGAAAATAAATAAAAATGCCATCTGCTGGAGAGGACAGGTTTTGGGCCGAATTATGCCTCTCACGTCGTCTTCCTCTGTGTGTAAGCTACTTTTCTCCGGTACTTAACATACTTTCCACCTGTCTAGTTTTTCTCCGGTACTTACCTCCGGTATAGTTTTCTCCGGTAGCAAGTTAAAATGCATGATAAACATTAGAAATATGATGGCCATGCATCGTTTTTGTAAAAAAAATACCTTGCTTTTTCACTGGAAGGTAATTTACTTGT